AACTTACAGTCTGCCTGGCTGAAGTGATCCGTGTACACACTTGTGTTACTGTTCTTTGATTAGCATGCAGAAGTGTATCTTGGACATTTTGTGCTCCAGCTGGCTGACAACCATTGTAAGATCATAACAAAGAAAGAATGACTTTATATTCTTACAGTGAACAGCTGAATCTCTACTGTAGTTGTAAAAAGTTTGTTCTGCTAAATCTTCCCTGTTTTACAGACCACTCAGGTTTTGTTGGCTTAGAAAGACTCCAGTAACACAGGAGAAAAATACTTAAAAATACCTTCTAGAAATTTGGCTTCAAAATAATAATGAAGAATATCTTCTTCCGTTAGCTGTCCACTACATCAGATGTCAAAATTCTGTGTTATTATGGATAGATTAATTACTGATATTATCCTGACTAAAAAAGCTAAATTTGGGGGTGTCATTAAAATTCTGACACGGGTCAACATAAAGTGTGTGTTAATTATTGGGTGACTGAGACAAGAACAACTGTTAGAGGCCAAGTGTAGCTGTTCTACCATGCATCTACTGTGCAGGCTGTAACCGGCGGGGCTGCTGCCACAGTACCCTCTGTGGACACGTTCTTTGCACCAAACTTCCACCTTACTAGTTCAAGCTTGTTCATGCTCTGGAACAGAAAAGCAGACGTTTCCTATTACGATTTTTTTACTAAGTGTTTTTTGAAGTACAACAGCCTTGGAATATTATGTTAGAGCTGCCCATCTTACTTCCTACTTGTAGTTCAGAGAACTGGAGTAACGCAGTTGTTCTGCTAGCGTATCTTAGGGTAGCAAGCACTGAGATAAGAATTTGACAGTAGGTACTGGAATATCCTTTTACACTTTGGTAGAACCTGGTCAGTTCCCTGAGCCTAAGCTGTATTTGCTTCCTTGCCATTGCTTATTTTGAGAAGATATTTTTGCCTCTGGCAGTAGATACGTAGCTGAAACAGTCTGTGAATTCAGGGTGGTGTTTTGATGCCAGTATGTGAAACCTGTCAGCCAGGTGTAAAAGTAAAAAATGCCTTCAGCATCCTGTGGTTTGAGAGCAACAAAGATACTTTGTCAGGACATTCTTTTGGAATGCCGAAGGGCTGGGAGAAAACCGAACACGGAACACAGTTATGAACAAAGTCCTCCAGAATTGGCAAATGCAGCCCGCTGTTGTGTCGCACTGGACAAAGGAATCAGCCCTGTACACTGTACTATGGTGGTTGAGGGGAACTCGGCACGAAAGACACACTTTCTTTCCCTTCTCAAGACACTACAGGTATACTTCTCATAAGAAAAGAAACCCCTGGTTGAGTTACTGTTTTTCAAGTCAACCATATCATGAAAGAATGTGTAAGGGTTGTTACTGTTATGTAAAGAAGAAATCAAACAGGAAGTATTGTAGGAACTGGTTGCTTATTTTAGCAGTCATGGTAGATATTTCTCGGTATTAACAGAGATCTATTCATATAAAAATAGAAGAGTAAATAGGATAAAATAAGATGTCAAGTGAGAACAATATACAAGGTTTCAAGTAGGTTTTGTATCAGCCCCCTCATGAAGATCTAAATCCTATCACTGAGGATGATAAAGGAACAAAGGTGAGAAATAAAAGAGAAAGAGTCAGAAAAGTAAGATTTTTATATTTGTCAGTTCCTCGCTATTGGTCTGTTGCTTTCTATGCTATCAAGAACCCATGTTCTGTCAGCCTACACCTACAGTACCACATCATACAGCACAGGAGGGGCTGAGCAGAGGGAAATAGTTGGTAACAACATCCAGGTGTGTACTCTGAGGATTTTACTTAACACCAAGTCTAACCTGGGCCCGTGAGCTGAATGCCCATTAGCAGCTGGAGGGTATTAGTGGTCTGGAAGCACACCGTCTGATTTGGTTTCAGCCAAAAGGAATACAGTTCACAAATTCTGAGACTGCAGTTTGATTTGCATTGAGGAGTAAGTGGGGAGATTTGCTTCAAAGCACTCCTTATCCAAACTAAAATGCTGATGTGGAGACATCCACAAATCCTGTGGAATCTGAAACCTGCCAACAGTAACAGCTAAGGTAACATTCAGAGTACGTGATATATTTACGTTTAAATACAGAAGAGAGACCTCTGTGTTTTAGATAGAATTAACAGTAAACTGAGAGGCTATTTGAGTTTCGAAAATGGGACACCACGTACCCCTTCAGTAAATCTCTTCACATTTCTTGACTGACCTGACTGTATGACAGGTGACATCTGTTGATTTGTTGTCGATAAAGAAGGATGTGATTTGAATCTCTCTCGCTCTAGTGTTGATACTGGTGTAATAAAATGACTTTGATTCCATCCATCCTGTGGAGTGGCAAAAAGAAAAAAGCATCCAAATAAATTGCTTTTCATTAAATTAGGAGTTTTTGTAGAGCTGTTTTCCAGTGTAGACTAATCTCATAACTTACCTTTTTATAAATGCTACGGAGATCTCGATATTGCCATAATGTATTCAGTACCTGGGCAGCTGCCTTGACAACTTTCAGAGATGATCTAAGGAAGGAAAGAATATTATGTTATTAGAAAGCAACTTAATTCCACTTAAAAGAACTTTAAAATTCCACATACAAAGAAAAATTCCACTTCCTGAGCTACATAATAGCCTAAGCTTTGATGCTGTGAAGCGAGTCAGGTCATCTCTCCAGGTCTCCACAATGCATGCCTGCATTGCCACAGTGTGAGCACGGCTGTGGCAGCAGCCTCACCAAAAAGCTGGTACAGAACCTGATTAAGCATGACAGTCATTTCCCTCTCCAGCCTAGAAATTTTCTCTTCAGGTCACTCGTGAGGAATACAGATGGAAGGGTTGAAATAGCTACTGTCATTGTCTGAAAGAATTAAAAATCATGAAAAGAAACATTCTATTTCGCGCTTTTCATAAAAACTGAGACTACATACTTTAAATCATTCTACAAATTTCCTATCTGTTAAAAAGAATAAACAAATAAAAGAGAGCTGGTATTAAAAGTCTCCAGACATCCTCATAGTGAGGCTACTTTCTCATTTCTTTGTTGCACTACTGAAAAATTTTATTGGTTGGGAAAACATGTTTCCACTCACAAAATCAAGGCTAGGAAAACTGCTGTAGCTATTATTAAAAATAAAATCATGCCATCTTTTTAAAGAGACATGGTAGTGAGCTGGTAGTGGTACTGAAGCAGTGATTTGACATTAAATGCCATCTGTGTTAAACATATGCCTTTTTCTGTCACTGTGGAGATTCATCCAAACACAGTTATTGAACGAAAAGACTGAAAAAAACTGCAGATGATAGTGTTAATCGATGAGTAGACACACTTAATATGTTCACAAGATTTTAGATTTGTTTGGTGTACCTTGTTGCGTCATAAATATAAGTGCAGAAGCAACTTTACACATTGTCTCCAGACTGATGAAGTCATAGCAGGGATCACTGCATTCGCACCTGCAGCTGAAATGAGTCTGTGTCCCTTGAGCATATGAAGTATTATAAATTGTGGATACTCAAAACATAGCCCAGTTCCTTTTGAGACAAAGACTTTGTTAAAAATGTGCTATTTTTAATTCACATTGACTAACTCCTCTGGGAAGTGATCCTTTTTTTTCTCTTTTGTCATCTGATCAAACACTGGGAATAGTACCCGGGGCTGACTATGGTCAGCTTTCTGCTGTCCCTGGAAAGAAGCTCTGTGATATCCTGGCTTATGCAGGAGTCCTGCTGCTGTGGCTGCGTTAGCAGTACTGCTGAGGAGCACAGAGCTGTGAAGCTGCTCAGAGCTGGGGGGTCTGTGAGCCTGACGTAGCGCTGACCCTGCACCACTCGGGAGCCGTGACGTGTTCCTGCTCCTTGATGCTCAGGTCTCCAGTTCCAAAGGTTTTATTGCTGCTAAACAAACACAGTGCCTGATCAGGCCCAGGGCCAGGCTCGGCTAGCAAACCCCCAGCACTGGGGTTGGCACAGCCATACCGAGGAAGTCTGCAGAGAGCCAGGTCCTCTGCTCCGTGGGCTAGGTCTTCCCTACAACCTACCAGATGAGCACACTACATACAATTAATAGCTGTTGTGATACATCCTGACAAAGGTGCTTACATATTCTGACTTTGAAAAGCTCTAAATATTCTATTAATCTTGTAGGTGTTTAAGAGGGGACAATTTTTTTTTAATACAATTTAACCTGAATAGGCCATATTACTGTGATTACTGCGTGCACAGTAAGAGCCTCCAAAAGCTTTAGACAGAGGATACACCACAAGAGAGTGGTGGCACCAGCTGCCGCTTCTTCCTCAGTGTGACTCAGGCTTTGTTAGCCACTCAGATCAGATCCTTTTTTTTTTTTTTTTTTAACTCAAAAATATTTCCTGCATTCCTAAGCATTTTAAAGAGAACAGAGAAACAGTTTAGGTATGAAGTTGGTTGCCTACTTGCCTGTCACCTCTTCCCTTCGTTATGTTCACCAGCTTTTCTATTCCTCCAGTATCAGCAAGGGCTTTGGCATTTTCCATGTTTTTACTAGTGACCTCATGCAAAGCACAGCAGATTGCTGCTACAGTCTCATCAGACAGTATGCTTGGACCATTGCCTCCTGGAAGTCGATTAACCAGATCTCGCATAGCATATTTACCTATAAAAACCCATCAACAGAACCAAGTAAAAAAATACATTTTGGTACTTAGGATTTGAAATTACAGGACTCATCACAAAACTGCACCTGAAAGCAATAAAAGAAACACAGGATCAAAACCATGGAAACCTTCCAAGAACTCACATTTTACACAGAGTCAAGAGAGACTGGAGATCAATTTTTCAGTTGCATTTTTGCATTGAAACAGGAGCATTTGTAAACAGGAATTATTTGGAGAAAGCAGAATTATTCAAGGAAAGGTGTTATGCTATTTATTATGATTGAAGGAGTGGTGCACATTCCTACACTTTATTTATGGGAGGGTTAAGGAAATCCTTACAGTAACTTGGAATTTTCTTCCTCCAGACATCCAGTTCACCTTATTTGTTACCCATAAGAGATGAGATCTCAGCTCTTTCAGATTTCAGTTACTGACTGATGCACAGGAATAATCACACTGCAGACAAAGGAAATTAACTGAAGCTAAGGTAATTTTTTTTTTCCACCCCTGTTTAGGCTGTGCTAATTGAAAGATTAATTGATTTTATTGAAGACATGTATTTGTACATAACAGTGAATAATGAATAAGCTTTACACAAAGCCGTTAGCTATCTATTTGCATACTGTGCCTGAGGGAAAAAAAAAATCTCCAAAAAGTAATTCTACAAACAAAAGGAACAACTTTTCAAACCCACTGGAAAACTACTACCAGTAATGCTGTATACAGTAGCATTGTCACTGCCAATCTTTTAGCAAGCTCATCAACACATGTTTCCATATACCAATTTATATTGTTATTTGTTGGAGTCCCCAGTCTCCTATTTTCTTCAGAGTTTAGAACATGTAAACCCATTATTCCTCTTCGCACCAATGGTAGTAAAGTTGCATAAAAAGATTACTAGCATGGGGTAATTTGTGGCTCACTTCATGTCTCAAAATATTTTATAAAATACTAGTTTCAAAGTGTATCTGGAAAGCCAATAATTATTTCATAGTTAAGGCCTTCACAAGGAGAGGGAACAGGTGTAGAGGTGCATTCCTGAACTGAAACGTTCTGCCAGGAAGGGAGAAAAAAAAATCCTGAAAAGGGAGTATCACATGAGCATGACCTGTATATATGGTTGGTGCTATAGAACAGAATTTCTTTCTTATGTATGTAAAACCTACACTGCAAGAAAACAGGTTCTGAACATCCAAGATGGAAAAGCTTCAGAAATATATAATACAATTCTGTTCACCTGCATTTATGTTTTTGATAATACTGATACTCTTTTCTGTATAAACAGTTGTTACATACTTATCCTATGAGCCTACAGCACAGAAAATGCTTCTGCAACAGAAGTGAAACTCTTTTAGATCATGACATGTATCAGCAGGGTTCATTTAGGCCACAGCAGCCTGAAGCTGAGGGTTAGGCACGTTCAACACTTGCCATAATAGACTGAGATTCCTGATCAAGGCAGGAAAAATGTTTGGGTTTTTATAAAATGCTAGATGAAAAAGGCACAGATGAATGCTTAAAGTATTAAATATTAAAACTGACAAAAGGGCAGCAGTAAGTTTTTTGAGCAAGCACCTCTGTTGATTACTTAATTCAAAGACACATATATACTGCTCTAGGTCTGAGTTTTCGTGGAAATATTTTACTAGGAGAGGATTTCTTCCTCTCTCCCTATCCAATACCATTAAATAATTTACTGAGGTACCGGCAGCGTAGCTGTCCTATCCTCTTAGAATATGTAAGGGACCTTGAAACCCTCTGAGGTTACTGCTTAGCTCCAAGGAGAGCTGTGCTTTCCATCCTATTTTGTAATGACAGTTTCCTGTCCAGTTTAGTTTAGCTGATGTGACTTCCATCCATTGTAAAGAGATTGCCATGCAAGGTGGCTACAGGCAAACTAAAATGTCACCATTACTGTGAAAAGCTACTGCTGTCGGAAGGATTAACTTCTGTGACACCACTGACGTGATACAGTAAAATCAAGGATGCTCTTCCTCCTGGTGGAATCTCAGCCTGCTATTTTTTCGATACAAGGTCTGACAGGCGGTAATCGTGCTTTCGGAGCACAGTTCTGTACGTACCAATGAGCTCCTTATTACGGACGTCTAACGCCATATTCCTTAAGGCAGTTGCCACAGATGAAACAACTCTATCATTATCCATTCTCAGCAGCTCCACGAGGATTGGTAGTCCTTTTTCTTTTCTTACAGCAGCTCGAATGTACGCTGCGAACTGTAATGAAACTCCAGTTATTCCAAATCTACTACAACATTCCGACTGAAATAATCCCTTACTAGACTGTAATTCCTCAGTACGCTAGGGGACATTTTCCAAAGAAGAGATGTCATGTTAAATGCATACCTTTTCTAATATTATAAAGGGTTGGCTCTTTGTTGTTTTTCACTCATTCCTCTTGCAAAGCAATGTTTAAAAGAGTTGTCTGACAGACAAAACACCTTAATAGATGACAAATTATTGAAAGGGAACAGGGCTTTTGTTTTTAGAAAGACTAATTTTATAATGGACATAAAATGAAAAAGTCTTAGCTGTTCTTCTGCAAGCAAAGGAAGCAATTAATGTTGGGGTTTTTTCACTCTCTCCAGGACAAATATGTAACGTTAATAAAGCGTTCTTGCGTGGTGTTTCTGTAACATACTATATGCAAGGGCCACAAGCAAGAATGGATGGAAATAAATAAAATAAAATAGGGCAAAACATTTTATTTATGCTGGTCTTATTTTGCCAGTACCTTCCCACCAGAATGCACAGCTAGAAGATGCTAGATTATTATTTTGGCCTGATATGCACTGGAAGAAAGCTTTTTCTGGTTATTTAGAATAAATGCTACCAGTTTCAAGGCCAGTTTCCATATTGCTCTGCCTGTCTACCACTCCTGTCACTGCTTTTCACTGTGGAAATCACATTACTGCAGCATGAGAGCACTAACGATATACACTAGAGAGAGATGCTCAGATGCATACTAGAAAATTACATGTTCCTTCCAAACAGGCTGCAGAATCTTATTAAAAAAACCTCCCAAACTAGGAGGAAGGGCAGGAACTGACATACCTTCCAGTTGCCGGCAGAAAGATTCTGGAGAGATCCTGCAGAGCCCTCTAGAGTGGCCGGATTGGAGCTTTCTGCCAGAAGCGTTAGGTATGGCTTTACCACAGACGGGTGCCACAGCATTTCCACCCCTTTGGGAGACTTGGAAAATCCTGGTATAGGGCCAACTCCATCCCACTGAGAAATAAACATACCTTTGTAACTACATGAAACCTCTGTATTTGCATTCCAAATATGATAGTTTTCCTTCAAGTTATGTACTGCCCCCATTATTAGCTAAACTAGTTGATGTATTTGTAATACAAGGAAAACAGCAAACCTGATCCTCCTGTGAAGTTTTTTTTTTCTTCTTCTTTTTTTTCCCCCAGCAACTTGGCTCTGAATCTTTGCTAGGTGATTCTTTTCCTAACAAGTCATCCAATTCATTGATTCCTAGCAGACGTGCCTGAGGTACCTCCAGCTCCAAACGGTAAGAAAGGTTTCTCAAGGTACACACACAGTTTTCCACGGTCTGAAGCCAAACCATAAAGATGTCATGTAATTAGTTACTTTCTTACATAGTGATAAAGCAAACCAAACAAGTCAAGTAGAGGTGAAAAGGCATTTGGAGCACAAGCACTAAATTCTAATTCTGGGCCTTGAGCATTGCTTTGTGTGTTTCTCCGGGAAAACCGCGATCTTTCTCCTGATATCCTCAAATATGAAAACATTTGTAACAGTAATCTCTACTATAGTGACATACTTGTTAGTATTCTGAAAATAAAAAGCACAAGGGCTTATTATTATTTATCAAAGAATGAATACTTCAACACTGATGAAAAGCACAGAACAAGTTACACTGTGCTATTCAACAGAATTTGATTGAGCATCAGTACACTGGGGTTGGGAGAGAAGACCAGTTGAGCTGAGCACGTGGCGGTGCTATTGTACTATACAAGCCCCAAAAGATCCTATCGGACGTACACTTTAGCACTAAAAGTCACTTAGATGAAACATGCACACACCTTGCTGTCATAATCTGATGTGTTCACACACGTGTGGATCACGTAGAGCAGAGAATCCACCAGTCCCTCGCAAGACCTCATCTGCTTCCGGGCCTCCTCACCCGCGGAGCTCAGATTCCTACAGGGTTGCAGTGACAAAGGAACGCGGCGTGTTCACAGACAGACATACGGACAATCATTTTATGAAACAGCTTGCAAAAGCTTTTTATACAGCTGGCCGGTAAGGGAGATTTTAAAAGCAAACGCACCATTTCATGCAGCAACCCACCCCCAATTCTTACAAAAGATAAATACGATTCAAAACTGTAATTTCAAGATAGCATTGACACACTGACAAAACCTGCCAGAAGTAGAACCCCCTTCCCACAGGCTTCTCCATTTCAAGCCCAAATCTATGGCTTGCCTGTGCTGTAGAATAGATTACTGAGCTTCTCTGTGCTGGAAATACCTTTTGTTGCCTTTTTTAAATTGGATCCATTCAGTGATCTGTTCTGTGGTGCAGCCTCATTAACATTTGTAACAGTGCTACACAGACAACAGACAGAAGTATAAATGTATAAATCAGGGTGTAGGGAAAGGAAAAGGCTGCACTGGGCTTTAGAATATGCAAAGGGTGTAGACAAATATTTGCCTTCAAGGCCACCATACTGCAAAACCCGAGACTTCCACTGTGCCTAGATGCACACTGAAAATGGTACCGCTGCTAAAAACCGCCACCGTGCCCGTCCCTAGAGCTGCTTTTTCTCTGGCCGTCATGTGTGCACCACTATGCCAGTACAGCTCTGTGTTCAAAAGCAGGGTAAAGCTCCTCATCTTGAAAAACAGCCGAATGGACAACAAAGAAGTAGTTTATGAAAAGATTCTGAAGTTTAGAAGGGTTACCAGCAAATAAAAAGTAATTCCGGTTGTGTTTAAACACAACAGCCTTACCCTGCTGTTTAATCGAACACAGTTTGAAATCTAATAAATTAAAAATATAAGCAAACCTACAAATGAACAGAAATAGCTAATACACAAACCCTGGCCTCTGAATTCTCTTTTCAGTTATTTTAGTTTTGCCTTTTATTATTCGGAATAATTTTTTTTCTTCTTACTGCTGTTTGGGAAATACACAAAGGGAACAGTCCAACACTTCCCTACTGATATGTATGCATATACAAACATAATTATTTAAATGTATACAGTAATAATAATAATGAAAAAAAATCACCAAACGCACAATTTTTTCCCTAAGTAGTATTTGTAAGCCCTACACCAATACAAAAATTGCAGTAATTGACAGGGAAAAAGTGCAATGATCTTAATTTATAAAAAACCCAAACAAACAAACAAAAAAAAAACCCAAAAAACCCACCAACCAAAATTTAACCACTAGCCATTATAGTTAGCATCTCTTAGTGACTTTGTACTT